AAGTGGTTGGTTGGTGGGAGATGAAACTTTAGGTTAGAATGGTTTTGAAATAAAATGAATGCTTATAGAGTAAGATGCCAAATTGCATTTCAGAAGGATTCTTGGAAGACTATTCTGCTCTTGGCCTATCAAAGCCTTGGTGTGGTATATGGGGACTTGAGCATTTCTCCACTGTATGTTTACACCAGCACATTTGCAGAAGATATTGAACATTCAGAGACCAATGAAGAGATTTTTGGTGCCCTATCTTTTGTTTTTTGGACACTTACATTGGTGCCACTGTTCAAATACGTTTTTGTGGTTCTTCGAGCTGATGATAATGGAGAGGGTAAGCATTTGAACAAATGAGGGAATCCAGTCTATATGCTCCTTCTCTTGTTGATGGTTTTCATGTATGGTTCTGCAGGTGGTACATTTGCTCTATATTCCTTGATTTGTAGGCATGCTAAAGTTAGTCTTCTGCCAAATCGACAACATGCTGATGAAGCGCTTTCTACATATAAGATGGAGGAGCATCCAGAGAAGAATACTTCTAGAGTGAAGATGGTGCTAGAGAAATATAAGACCTTGCATACAGCTCTCCTAATTGTTGTTCTTCTTGGCACTTGTATGGTAATAGGGGATGGACTACTTACCCCAGCTATTTCTGGTAAGATTCTATCTTATTAACCATGGTTTTACAAATAATTTCTTATCAGTTTGTTGACTAGCCATCTATTGGTGTAGTTTTCTCTGCAGTATCTGGTCTTGAGGTATCTATGTCCAAGAAACACCACCAGTGTAAGTTTCACTTATGGCATTCTCTATATTTTCGTTCCAATTAAATGGCAAAGAATTTTGTTTAACAGTCACATGAAGATAAATTGGATAAAAATTTTAAGTAGTTATTTATCAGTTTTGAATACAATGATGGAAGAGTTCATTCATTGCTTATCATATTAGTTGAAATGGTTATTTGCAGGATTTCTTCCTTGTTTCTGTATTTGAACCTATTGCTCTGCGTTTGCAGATGCTGTGATTCCCATCACTTGCTTCATACTGGTGTGTTTGTTTGCACTCCAACACTATGGTACACATAGGGTGGGATTCCTTTTTGCTCCAATTGTGTTGACATGGCTACTGTGCATCAGCACACTTGGTTTATATAATATATTTAAATGGAATCGACATGTATATAAAGCTCTTTCACCATATTATATGTTCAAGTTCTTGAAGAAGACAAGGATAAGCGGATGGATGTCTTTGGGTGGAATATTGCTGTGCATAACAGGTAAAAGTGAAAAATTCATATATATGTTAAATCTAATGTCTTGCACTGTACTCCTACATTGCATATTTGTTAAATCCCAAACTGTGACTAGCTACTAATATACATATGTTGTGCACTTGTCTTTTCAGTAACGTCTGAGTCGAAAATTAGATTTGATTAGAATGTAGATTCAGTTCTATGATTACATTTACTTTTGAATCAATTCTGAACGAGTCTTTCATCATTAAGCCCCTGAAAATATTCAACAGCATGGTGTTATGTACATAAAAGAATAAATTTAATGTGCTTTTACTATAGCCAAGCGAGAGATTGTGCCCTTATTGGATTTCTGTTTCACATGGAGCATTGTAAATCATCTGTGGTTACTTCATCATAACGTAGTTTTCCTGATGAGAGATTTCTTGTGTGTTGTGTTGACCTTGTGAGCAGGCTCAGAAGCTATGTTTGCTGATCTTGGCCATTTCTCATATATGGCCATTCAGGTTGGTTTATAATTTTCTGTTTCCTACTTTGTTCTGGAATATTGACAGGCTCTTATATTGTAGGCCTTGGAAAGGTCATTTAAATGGCAGAAAACATCTTAACAATTTCTCTTGTGCAGACTGCATTCACCTTTCTGGTATATCCTGCGCTCATATTGGCATATATGGGTCAAGCTGCTTATTTGTCCCAGCATCATGATTCCGAACTCCAAATCAGTTTCTATGTCTCAGTTCCAGGTATTCATTGTCCCAGCTGACTTTTTATTATTTATAGTCAATTACTAGTCAGTAGGCATTAAAGTGTGAAGGAAGCCACATAAATAACTAGATGGTAAAATCTTCCTGGCAGCATTGCAGTATATATAAGGTTATCTACAATGCCTTTGTTAGTTTCCTGAAAGCATTATGGTTATTCTTGCCTGGAATTGCACATTATAGAAAACATTATGCAAGTTTTTGGCTGCAGAAAGCGTGAGGTGGCCTGTGCTTATCTTAGCTATTCTAGCCTCTGTTGTGGGAAGCCAAGCAATCATTAGCGGAACATTTTCCATCATAAACCAGAGCCAATCTCTAGGTTGCTTTCCAAGAGTTAAGGTTGTTCATACATCTGACAAGATACATGGTCAGGTCTACATTCCTGAAATTAATTGGATACTCATGATCCTCTGCATTGCTGTGACCATTGGATTTAGGGACACAAAACACATGGGAAATGCTTCAGGTAAGTTACACCTTATGCATGATTAACTGAATTGCAGTTATAAACTTATTGCCTTATTCTTCAAGCTTGCAGTTTTCTTTGCGTTACCATGGTTTTTTATGCTAGATCTTTTGGCTTTGCACTACATATAGTTGTTAATATAAAGAAAGCCTCAGCTTGATGTGTTGGAGATACTTGTAATATTAATTTCAGAGATAGAAGGTATATTGGTGTAAATTAGAATGATATATAAATCAATATTTGTTTGATGCAGGGTTAGCAGTGATGACTGTGATGCTGGTAACAACATGCCTTACTTCCTTAGTAATCATACTTTGTTGGCGTAAACCCCCTATTATAGCCCTTTGTTTCCTATTGTTTTTTGGCTCTATTGAACTGCTATATTTCTCAGCTTCCTTGACAAAGTTTTGTGAGGGTGCCTGGTTCCCTATCCTGCTGGCTCTCTTCCTTATGATAATAATGTTCCTCTGGCACTATGCAACCATCAAGAAATACGAATTCGACCTTCACAACAAGGTGTCACTAGATTGGCTTCTAGCCTTAGGTCCAAGCTTAGGAATTGCAAGAGTCCCCGGAATAGGCCTTGTATTCACTGATCTCACAACCGGCATCCCGGCAAACTTCTCTCGTTTTGTCACCAACCTCCCTGCATATCACCGCATCCTTGTTTTTGTGTGTGTGAAATCAGTGCCAGTCCCTCATGTCCCTGCTGCTGAGAGATACCTTGTAGGCCGTGTAGGACCGGCTGCTCATCGGTCCTACAGGTGTATAGTCAGATATGGATATCGCGACGTTCATCAGGATGTTGATTCCTTTGAGTCTGAACTAGTAGCAATGCTTGCTGATTTCATCCAATATGATTGGTATAGGACTAGGAGGAGTAGCATGAGCACTGAGGATGATGCTTCACACTCTAATGAATCATCAAGTCACAGATTAACAGTAATTGGAACAACTGGTTTCTCCAGCCAACCAGGATATGAGAGTGGGGATAGTGTCCAACAAGCAAGTGTATCTGTTGGGTTCCAAACTGTGCAAAGTGTGACTGATGTTATTGAGATGGAACCAATGGGTGTGACTGAGAGAAGAGTGAGATTTGCTATTGATGATGAGCCTGAATGCGATGCAAGGTCTGAGGTAGGAGTGCAAATGCAGGAAGAACTAGAAGATCTTTATGCTGCTCAAGAAGCTGGTATTGCATTCATTCTTGGTCATTCTCATGTAAGAGCAAAGCAAGGTTCATCTTTTCTCAAGAAATTGGCACTTAACTATGGTTACAATTTCTTGAGAAGGAATTGTCGTGGCCCTGATGTAGCACTTAAGGTTCCCCCAGTTTCTCTTTTGGAAGTTGGCATGGTTTATATTGTGTAGAAAATCTAACTTGTAATTACCTTTCTTTTTCGTTATGTTTTTCACCTAGAGATATAGGCTTTAATGGCAAAGCATTGTGCAGTTTCCAAAGGCTTATGTGAATGGGACTGTGGGAGTGACTCTACCCTTAAAATTTGATTTAATTTACATGCTTTAATTCATAGGCAGCAGAAGGGTTTATACAGATGTTACAATTCCCTGTCCTAGATGTTACTTTAGATATATATATTTTGGAAATGTAGGAAGCACTGATGGTTATGAAGTTTTTTCCTCCTTCCATTTCTATGTGAACAGAACACACATTTTATAACACCAAGAACAAAAACATCATCCTAGTCCACCCAAGGCACACACTTCAACTAACTTTTTTCCCCGACTTATTATAATATCTTATATTTTTATCTTAATTTGAAAATAATAAATGAATGGATATCATTTGATAGAATTAAGAAAAAAAGTTTTCCAACTAAATATTGTGAATTCTGCCGTGAATTGAAGTATTGTAAATGAATTTCACAATCTATTTTATACTTTTATGTTTTATTATATAATTTTGTTAAAAAGAAATTCAAATAGTATTCCATTTTTATTTCACCTCATAAATTTGTAACTTAGAACTCCACGCTGATCATACGCCAAATCTATAAATGATTCTTCTAATTTTCAAGATTTCAGGAAAAAAAATATCTATAATTTTAAATAAAAAATAAATATTTCAGCAATTTTTTAGTATAAAAATATTTGTTTTTAAAAAATACAAAGGGGAAAAGAATTCTCCTTATTTCGATAATTAACTAAGAAAAATATCAATGTGACACTTGTGACAAATTAAGAAAGTATTACTTTATGAAAAGGAGAATATGTATAAAGATATAAAAAAGATATATATTACCATTAAACTTTTTTATGTAAATAAGATTTTGTGAAAAAAGATAAATATTTGTTTAAAATTTATAAAATAAAATGAATTGCTAATAATAATATCTTAAATACAATAAAACGTCAACGTATGAATCTATTAAAATAGATCAACACTTATATTATTTTAAACTCCATTAGGAATACAATCCAACATCCTACGTGTTACACAAGTTACATCATTACATGGCAGCAAGCGGAAGATAAAAGAGATCCTCTCATTTTAAGAGTTCCCAAGGGTGCCACATATTCCACTTTTAACCACAAGGATTTGTGAGGGGACAAAATTCACAACCACATGTGGTGCAATTTGGTGCCTCAAAAACCAAATAACAGCACACTTGCACGCACGCACGCACATAAATATAACATAAGGTGCATAATTCAGAAGCAGGGTAGTGAGTGCCAAGTGAAACCAAAATGGGACTTGGGACTCTGCCGTTGACTCCTCCTTATTGCAATTTCTGTTCAAAATCAGGTCTTGTGGACAACCCCACTGGTGGCAGGCTCAATAGAAGCATAAAATTCAGAGTTTCAGCCAAACAAGAGAAGCAAGAAGCAGATAAGAGAAAACAATCTTTGTTTAGCAGTGTAACCGAAGCTCTTGACTTTTCTCAAGTGAGATCCGCAGAGGATGCTCAGCTTCTAGAAGATGCCAGACAAACCACAAGGTCTGGAGAAAGGATGAGCAGGGAACAGGTATATATTATACTCTTCCAATTCTTCTTTTTTATATTAAATGATTTTTTTTAATATTATAATGTTGGACAGAATAATAAATTATTATTAAAAATTACATAATTTAATGCATTAATAATAGTATTAAATGTTACAATTTTTTATAAAGACTTATTATATATAATTTCTTATGTTATGCAATGACATAAAATAGCAAATTATATGCATCTTTATTGTTAATGATCCTGCTAACTATTTTCTTAAATGTAGTATGGAGCTCTTAGAAGGAAAATTGGTGGGACGTACAAGGATTTTTTCAAATCTTACGTTGAAGGTATCATCTAGTTATTCTTCTATAAAACATACGTTTAGCTTTGTAATCAATGAGACATTCGTCTGTTCCTTGATTAGTCTCCTTTTGAATAGCCAAATTTTCTTCTTTGCGTAATGAAATTCTAAAGAAAAATGTTTTTCTTTTCTCTCTCCTAAGAGTGAAAGGAGAACTTTCATGTCCTTATTGCCCAATTGCTGTTTCTTTTTGTCAGGTCCTTGTTTCATTAAGTAGGCCAATATCTTACATATTATTAGTTGAATGAATCACTGTTTTACTTAGCAATAGATCTGAAACATTTTGTTTGAATGGAGCAGTGGATGGGGCATATGTTGAAGAGGGCTGGGTTGACAAAACATGCAAGGTGTGCAAAAAGGACACGAGGGGCGAGGCAAGGCAAGTGGACAACTTTGGAAGATATGTTCATGTAGCATGTCTCGAGAAGTCCAAAACTGGCAACTTCTTTACCAAACTTTTCTCTCTATAAAGAGCATTCATGAATCATGATATGGCATACCATAGTAGGTGGAGGACACATTTTCTCATTTAGTCATGTACCCAGGATTCCAATTAGTCATCCATTTATCAAATTAGATTTTATTCACCTCTTTGGCCAAATGAATTATAGCAATCTTAACCACACAACTTTTTTCTTATCTCAAGGCTTTATCTTCATAGCAAAAAAGATGAGCATTATTGCCTCGAAGGGAAAGTGTATTGTATCCCATACAGCCATAGAGGTGATACATGATGACAAATTGCATGGCTGTATGATGATATATTGCTATACCTTTTTTTTATTATTATCATTATTTGGGCATCGTCTTTCTTAAATATAATATATGATATCATATTCTAATTTATGTGCGGGCCATGTCCAAGAGTGTGGGTGTGTATAACTTTTTGCTTAGGTGGTTTGTACATCTAAAAATCCCCTCAGACTATGAGCACAAGACTCTTTTATTTATATATCTTTTTATTTGTTTCTAATTCATGAATGCGAGACTTATTTCTCCGACAAAAGGTGTTTACCTGATGGCAGACGCAGCAATCTTTTCTTGTGCAAAATGTAAAATTACGATTTCAAGTTTCAAATTAAAAAAATTTATATTCAAGTGCCGAACTTTATGTATTATTGGAACAGCACCATACAATTTATTCTGTATGCTCCCAGAAACTAAAATTGCAATGCTTTCCACATTGAAAACATCAATTCATAGTAAAACAGTTATTGACAGATGGCAACTATGAACTACCATTAGAGAAAGCATTGATTATTCGTATCTAGTTCTCTCAACAAAATGGAGAATTGATCTTGGGTTCACTTTTTCTGAAGGTGTCAATTATTTGTTCTAATTTTCAAAATTGGATCCAGGAAAGCCTACACAAGCTGTCCTAGGACCTAAGTACACTACAAACTTCATAGGATTGTTTACAAGTTGCTTCTCCCGAAAAATAAAGGAAGTTTTCAGTTGATAAATTTCATCGAAATTATCTTTCTTAACCATCTGATCATGAAGATTCCTCCATGTTTTGATTACTATATGATTCAATATATGGGTGAATCAATGTGCTACAAATAAAAAAGGGTGTCAATTTGTCAAATGAAATATTTTGTATTCGATTCTTTGAACACTTTGGTGTGGATTGACTGGTGACAACGCTGAATATGTGACAAGCACTATTAGTGGTAAATTATTTCACTTTCGGGACAATCAAGTGCAACAAAAGAAAAATAATGGAAAAAGGAAATTCGATGAAGCATCATGCAGTGTAGGTAAAAGAAGAGGCAAATGTAATTTTAATTAAAAAAAGTAACAGATTTCCACCGTGACTTCTTGCACATTTCTAATGTCACATATTCAATATTCTAACCAATCAAATCCATACCAAAGTGTTCGAAGAATCAAGTCAGAAACAAGCCATATCGTAAACTAAAAGCTTTGTAGTTCAACACTCTACTTATTGAATCATAAAGTAACCAAAAGTTAGCTAAATCTTCGTGACGAAATGATAATGATAGAAGCACCCTAGAACAATTCTTTGAAGCAAATTGTATCAAGTCTACAGTGGCATGTACACTGAAGCCAACTCAATATAATAGAACCTAACTCAACCATATCAAACGAAAAACTAAACCAAGGAAAAATATAAAAAAGTGAAATACAAAAATAACTATAAAGCAATAACTTAAACAAATTTAAAATATCATATGACAACTAATGAAATAACTTCTATACTATATATTAATTTCATATATTCTTCGCATGATCTCCAATTTTAACAAACATATCGAAAGTTGGTACACTTTTATTTTCTAGTCGTTTGCAATATTCTAACACGCCTTTAGATTGTATAAAAAAATATTCATGACATTAAAAATACAAAAATATAAGAAACACTTTATTTTCTAATAAAAAAATATTACGTTTAAATAGTTAAACAAAATCGAGTCGACAATCGTATAGTTGGTAAAAGAATAAGAAATAAAAAATGTTAAAGAGGAAAATGGCGGGAAAGAAGGGCCCGAGAAGAATTGGCGGGAAAAAGATGACCTACAAAGATGCATAGAGCGAGAACCGTCGTTCATTCCGATTTCCACAAACACAGAGAGAGCAATCGAGTGAGTGATGGTGGGGCCCCAATATGATTTTCTGGCGAACCCTTTGGGTGCTGTGAGATCCACTTTCGACGCTGCCATTGCCTCCGGTTCCGATCCCTCTTCCTTCGATGGCCGCGACTGGGGCGCACTCAACCTCTTCCGCCACTTCCTCTTCGACCAGTCTCGCCTCTCTCAGGTTCCGATATTACTCTTCTCATTCAACAAAAAATAAATTACAAAACCCTATTCCTTAATTTTAATTTTAATTATAATAATATTTTCCATTTTATTGTTAATTAATGGAATAGGTTCCCGTTCTTACCCCTGCCACCATCAGATGCGTGAAGCCCAATACTCTAGTTCGGTTTCGCGGCATGATTCAGGACATGCTTGGCAACGAATTCTATGTCGGCGCTTATAAGGTTTTCTTTTTTGTCACGTGGTCAAATTTATGGATCAATCATCTCTAGCATTACGCTTAATTGTGTATTGGGTGTATTTGTGAAAATTGAAGGATGGTTCTGTATGGAGGACCAACAAGTTCATGGATGTTTCTCAATTTCCTATGGGTTCTTCATCAGATATGCGAATCTGGGAACGCCGATTGCTTTACTGTGTTCCCGTGAGATTCCATTTTCTTCTTTATCACTAGTATTTGCTTTATCAAAAGAGTTCAATTTTCCATGTTCAGTTTTTTTCCTTAAAATTGGGCAATGGTTTGCTTAGATTGTAGTGAGTATTAACATTATTTATGTATTGATTTTATAATCTAGGTTCCGGGACTGAATCAATGGACTGAAATTTCAGCCGAAGCAGTTGGCAATCAGTCTATGGATTTGATATCCGATCAAAGAGAAAAGCGTAGGAGAGCCGAAGACGAGTCTTCTGATATGCATGTATTATCTGGTCCTGTGATAATGCCTTTATTAGCTTATTGTTTCCATTAAACTGTAATGGGATGAGTACGAGAACCATCAAATATTTAGGGTCTCCCACATTCTTGTTTGTTTCTGTATGCTTCAATACAAATGCAATACGTTACAGAGTCAGTGTACTGGTTTTCATTATCATTTTAAAAACACTAGATACTGGGTAATGTGTTATTTTCAGCTTTCTTACTGGACTTTGTTTATTCACAGGTATCTGATGACGAGGTTCAGGATTCTCCAAATACTAAAAAACTGGTATACTGAGCTTTCATCCAACCCCAGCCTTTTGTGTTGAGTTTTACACGTATAAAAGAATGATCCAAGAATTACCTATTTTTGCTTTTTGTATAAAGTGGTTAGTTAAATACTTATGATTTCTGTGGTTTCGTTGTGGTTTGCTTTAAGGTTAATTTATCATTTTCAATTAAATCCAAACCAAGAAATTTGTGTTCCAAGTTTGAGTAACGCCATAAAGACCTCCACCCAAGGCCTCTGTATCCAATTTAGATGACAAGCTTGTAGGTTATACTCACAGATAGGTCCAGCTGCATTTTTACAATTTCTGATATGAATGTGTTTACTAGATGATCTAATTTTTATTTCTCCGTGCAAACTTCTGTTGTGGTTCTTTTGAGAATTGATCTGATTGGTTCTTTTACAGAGAGAAGGTGAACACTCTTCCCGTGCTTCCCAATCCCAGGGAGCTGTACCTGAGATTGCCGGCAGTAGTATGAGTTTGGTGCCTGGTTTTTATGGCAATTCACCTCCTTGTCTTGTGAAGGTAATAAGAATAAGTCTCTTCTACGTCCCAAGTTCTTATTATTATTTTATTGACATGCGATCAATTTATTGTTGTTTTAATTTCTTGGAATTATAGTAAATCTCTTTCCTCATCTTCCTCCGTGTCATTCCAGATATATGATTCTCCAGAGTCTGAATTGAAACTGAATGACATTTTTGAGTTTGTGGGTATCCTGACATCTGATCCAGAGCTTCAGGACGATAATGAAGGTTGTGATCTATCAAATGAATTATGTGAAGATCCTTTGCGCCATTTTCCACCTAACAAGGTATGCATTGTGCTCTGCATTTGAGGAGTTTTGATAAATATTAGAAGCCCTGTATTGTCCCTTGAGGACTGCTTGATCAACGGGCAACAAATTGGAGCCTATATTGTTCTTAGAAACAAGCATAAATATGCATTTGTGTATCATGTCTGTCTCCACCCTGTGCCTAGTTTTTAAATTTGCAATTTTTTTTACTCTGGTGCAGGTGCCACGCCTTCATTGTTTTATTCACAGGAAACTAGCGGTACAGGACTTCCTTCAGAACAACCCTATTGTAGAGGTAACTTACATATGTTCCTAATTGCAGTTTATTCATCTGATCAAAGAACTTGTCATATTTATCATCTTGACATCTTGAGTTGGATCCTTTGCTCAACTTGAAAACACCTTGTTGAAGAAGGCTTGTGTTTGATCTGACAGCCAAAACCTGACTTGGTCAAAGGCATCAGGGAAGCTTTGCTAAGACATCTCACAGCTGTCCTTGGCAATGATGACTTAGCTGCTCATTTCATGTTGCTACATCTTCTATCCAAGGTATGCAGTTCTTAAAAGTTCATTTTCTTTAGTCATTTCATGAATTTTAAATGTTCTGGTTATTGTTATTTGTGTAGCTTATTTCCCATTTCTATTCATATTTTTAGTTGTATGCTTCCTAAATCCCCCACCCTCCATTCTTGAGAATATTTGTATGATGATTGTTATTGAACAGGTGCATGCTAGAGTAGATGCTCTTGCTGTGGGAAAGCTTTCACTAAACTTTACTTGTTTTAACAAAGAAACTGTGTCCGTATTTGGAAAACAAATAAACCTTGCTCTCAAGAATCTCGTGCCATTCACGCTGTGCATACCCCTTACAGTGGAATACTTGAACACTGCTTCCGTTGCACCAAAAAAGAACTATGATACTAACAGGTATTCTCATTTTATAATCCTTCTTAACATGGATTTACCAGTATACAATTACATTCACAACTTTTAGTATTGATGCTCCAGACTGGAAACTGGAGTTTTGCAACTAGCTGAAGGTTCACACTTAATTGTTGATGAGACCAAACTAGAAGCTGGAACTCTCAACTCTGTGGGCGTAGAGAATGCAAGGCTGCTGAAAAATTTAATGGAGTTGCAAAAGGTAATTGTTTGCTTTGCTTGTTTTTCTCTCGTCCTCTTTTATGGCGTTGTGTTCTGTTATGCTACGAAATTGAGTTTCTAAGGGATAAATTTACCTTGACTTTGTGCAACTGTTGGAAACCTCTATATGAACCACAATGCTGGTAAACTTGCTATTTTTAGAAACACGCTATTTACTATTGATTGCTTGCAATTATCATTTTAGAACTGCAATTAAAGATGGCATTCACCTGCTATGTGTTCAGGTGGAATATGATTTCAAGTACTATAAAATGGAAATGGCAACTGACGTCCAACTGCTAGTTCTTTCGGAGGGGAAATCAAATATCTTGCCAGCTGATGTAATCGTACCTTTTCGGCCTGCTGCAACCAATTGCTCTGAAGTTGTGACCATAGAAGCTTTGGAAGCTTGGAGGTGGTATTTGGCTACTGTTAGACAATTATCACACTCTATTGAATCAGAAATGCAGAAGGTATGAGTGACGTGGACACTAGTATTCACAAGCAAGTGTTCTTCTGGGCAAAATAGTCAAATAATTTATTAGCCATTAGCCTACACTTAGCATACAAACTCAGCAACTAACAAATTTCTAAGTTTGGCAGAAGTGGTATTTTAGTTTGTTCATTATCCATTTCAATAGTAAAAGACACGCATATAATTCACTATTTGTATTTTGAAGAACTGACTGCAGGGCGCTATTATTAAGAGTTCATCTTTGCTGATTTCTCCAGTTCCTTCGTTGTTTACCTAGGTTTCTTAACAATAACGTCTAGAGCATACTTAAATGTTGTGATGAGAATGCGTGATGGAGCCTTTTTTGCGTTTTTCAGGTGGTAGAAAATGATTTAGTTGCAGCAAGGCAAGCAGACAGAAGCTTGAATCCCCAAGATTTAAGCAGGTTAATGAATAACTATATTCTTTCTTGTAGCATAACTTTATAGATCAGATTGTTCGCTGCCGCTTATACCTTTCTCCCTTGTCCAACAGATGGTTAACAATGGGTCGCCTCATGTCATTGAGCTATGGTGAGACCAGCTTGTCACTTGAACATTGGCAAATGGTCAAGGAATTAGAGAGGCTGCGAAGGGAGAGGTTAAAATGAAGTACAAATTTGCGAGTTAGAGTCAGGCTATCATGTTAACGTTTTAATTTCTGCTGTAGATTCAGGGAAATGAATGCAGGTTGATGGGTTCAAAGGGTCTCGCTGTTGGATCGCATTACCATATTTAAAGAATGAACATGAATTAGAAAGAATCTCTCAATCGGTTCCATAATTTCTTCATTCAGCAAAATAGATAGATTGAATTAATTTTGAATTAAGTTATGTAAAATTAAAAACAAATCATCAATTTATTTATAATTTATTAAAAATGTATTTAAAAAATTAATTTATCTATAATCCATTTATTGTAAATTATTTATTATATTTATTAATCATTTTTCTTAAATGAATATCTAACTTATCTATTTAACAGGAGTGTATAGATTGAATTTTTTAAAAATTAATTTAAAATTTAATTATATGAATTAGATTCTGAATCAATTTATTTTAATTTTTTAAAGTTGGTTTAAATTTAGTTTTAAAATTTAGATTTAGTTTAAAATAGGTTTTAAATTAGATAAATATATTATAAATATTTTTATATTATTATTAAATCATTATATTTAAAAATATTTAATTTTATAATAATTAATATAAAATTATATTTACATATATTTTAATTTATTAATATTTTTTTTATTTTTATATTATATTAAATTAATATATATTTGCATATATTTTACTTTTTATCATATGTTCACTATACAAATTAATTATACAGATTAATTTTAAAATATTTTATTTTATTTTTTTAACTCGGTTTAAAAGTAATTTTAAAATTTAAATTTAGTTTAAAATTAATTTTAAATTTAATTTTACATTTAATTAGTTTTAAATTTACTTTTAAATTTAATTAGTTTTAAATTTACTTTTAAATTTAATTTTTAAGGTAAAACTAGTTTTCAATACATCTGTAAATTTATTTTTTAAGATAAAACTAATTTATTTTATGCACTATTGTATTAAATTATTGCATTTTAAAAAAAGATTTTAGTAATATTTATTAATTATATTATATTTTATATAAGTTCATAAAATATTTATTATCATTTTTAATTTATAATAAATTAAAATGCATATATATATATATAATTTTATTTTGTATGTAATTTATAATATTTATATATCATTTATATGGTATTATATATGTAAATTATATTTTTATTAAAATATATATTTTAATTTATTTAATTTTTATTAGTATATTATATTTGATTAATTTTATGATCATATAAGATTATAAGTTTCTATATCTTTAATTTTTATAATATATTATAATATTTTAAATTTATAATTTTATCTAAAATACTTGTTTCTTCACATGACAAATGTAATGTATGGTCAACATTTGAAAAAGAAATTTGAAAAAAACCTTCAAATTAGGATGGTAAGTTCAAAATTAATATACATGGATCTTCAATTATTCTCAATTGTTTGTTGTAGGGATGGATCTTCAATTATTCTCAATTGTTTGTTGTAGCCATGCCAACACCATGCTAGACAAAGATTACGTGGAAGGATGGATTAGAACTAGTTTTAGTAAAAGTAAGTCCAATTTTGTAAAATGAAATTCAAATTATGTCTCAACTATAAATAAAGTGGATTGAATATTTTATTTTTTTTAAATTTAGATTTTTTAATTCAGTTTAGCTTAGGTTATAAATTGGACCTCTATATTCAGATTTTTTATCCACTCTTACTATTTAAAGGATATTATATTTTTTTAAACATATTTATTTATAAGTGCAATACTTATAATGATACTTACATTCAAGCATTATAAAATATAAGGCGTCTCAATTCATAAATTTTGAATCATTTAACTTGATTAAGTTATAAAATATTAGATGAATAAGTATTTATCCATTAATAAATAGTGATTCAACATAATTTATACATTATGTTTTTTGAGATAGGTTTTGTGGGTAAGCAGTCATCCTATGGGTTAAAATGGGTTATGCTTTATTTAGTGGGTATTTTTTATGAGAAAAAAAATAAAAAAAATATCAAAACATGGTGTTTTGTGACTATTTTCAAAAATATGAATTTTTTTTCACAAATTGTTAGGGATGATATTTGACCAAAAATTTATTTATTTATTTTAATTTTTTAAATTATTTTTATTATTTTTCAAAAATTCTCAATTTTTTATTTTGATTGAAATTTTATTTTAGTTTTTAACGACACAAATTTGTAATTTAGTCTTTATATATAAAAAAATTTGTAAATAAATTTCTATACATAAATTTAGTCATAATTTAGTCTCTGTTATTACTCCTAATCTCATTAATTAATAAATTTGCAATGCGACTAACGAATTTGATGTAATTTTATGTATTTATTTGAAAATGCCTATTAATCTCTCACTCTTCTCTATTCCTAAGCTTCTCACACAAGAAACCTAGTGAGTGATTATCATCCCTGAAAGTACATCACAAACATGCCGAAATCTAGAACAAAAATCACATCCTTAAACGATAATGCTAATCTAGAACAAAATCACATCCCTAGACAATAGTAGCACTGTACTGACATCTTTCACCAATGAATGTAAGAAATCATAACGCTGAAAACCCTATTGATAATATGTGGCGCTCTATTTTATAGTTTGTATTTATATTTGTTATGATGATGTCTTCAATAACAGATTTATTGCCTTATATATTTAGTGTTTACTTGTATAACTGGGAATATATTTTGAAAGCACTGATAAAAAGAGAAGGGTATTGATTAACTCATGTTGCAGGATTAAAATACAAAATGTCTTAATTGTGATCCTAATCAATGGTCCCTGTAAGAAATCATTGAATTTTTAAAGGGGTTAACGTACAAAGGCAATGTGCAGATCTTCCATCGCATACTTGTGATTCATCTTAAGGAATGGTTAGTTAAGGTGTATAATGATGGAGTGATGAAAATTGCTCAAACTATTATGAGTATTATTGCTTAGAAAGTGAAAGTTTATGTTGTGCATTGAACAAGGTTCATGGTATTCAACTAACTCCTAATGAAGAGGAATATGAAGATTGTGATAATGATGTCATATAGAAGGAAGATGTGGTAAGGGAAAAGGAATGTGATGTTGATCTTAAAGGGAATGAGATAATTGTGTGGGAAGAGGAACATGAAAAGGATTATGATGGAGAAAGCATGCATGAAAATACTTTTAGTGATAGTGAAGATGTTGAAGATGATAAGTACTAATTACATTACTTAACAAAGGACTTAACAAGTGAAGATTTTGTAGAAATACTTGAAGTTGCTAGAGATATTGATTCAGATTACAACAATGATGAACTTCACAGTGAGAATGGTGGAAGTGTTGATGAGAGTTATGTATTTAAGAAGGTAAATCATCAACAAAATATTTTGAATGAAATGTATAAGGATTTTAAATTTAGGCTTGGCGTGGAGTTTAACTCAATAACATAGTTTAAGGAGGTAGCTAGAAAGTACTTATTGATTAATGGATGGAGATTGAAATTTTAAAAAAAATGAAAAAGTAAGATGTAGAGTTGTGTGTAAGGAAGAATGTTCAAGATAGTATTTGTGAGTAAGGTTGGAGGTTCATTAAGTTATAGATTGAAGACTTTGAATAACAAACATACTTGCACAAGAACATATACGAGAAATCATAGGATTTGTGTTAGGTATATTTATGTCAACGTAAAAAAATATTATGGTGGAGGTGCTACGTTAATGGATAGAATGCTTGCTACATGTAACCACCTATCATGCAACATGAATTAGAAGGATGGAAGAAATCAAGAAAGCTTCTCCTAAAGCTCATGATTGGTTATTTGGGACTAATCCAACATATTGAGCAAAATCTTATTTCATTAAATATGTTAAATGTGATATTGTGATAGATAATATTTTTGAGGCTTTCAATGGTAGAATATTATAAGCAAGGAATCAACCTATAATTAATATTTTTTAATGGATTTAAATTTACATAATGAATAAGTTTGCAAAGAATAGGTTGTTGCTGAAAATATATAAAGGAAAAGGAAATTATATCCTAAGCGACGAAAAAGACTTGATAAAGTTTTAAAATTTAGAAAGTGGATTGCAACTTGGTGTAAGGTTTAAAATATAAAGTGAAGTGCAAATCTCAACAATTTCAAGTTGACTTAGAGGAAAAAAGATGTTTATGCATATTTTGGAAGTTAACTAGACTACTTTGCAGATAATGTGTAGTGTTATTTATTTTTGGAATGCTTGTTCCACTATTTTCGTTCTAATGTTATTTTACTATATTTTGAATTTTGTTATTCTGATATTATGATTTGCTACTATACTTTGAATTATGTTATTCTGTTGAATATAATATATTTTATTATATATAAGCATGCTATTGCGACTATATATGTAAATAATTGTGATCCTCAAAACTTTATTGATAAATTTTATTACATTGATACACATTCAAAATGTTATGAACATTTAATTCACCTAATTAATGGAGAATAAATATAACTAGTTTTTGATCTACTTGCACTTGCACCACCATAAGTGAAAACATCTATAGGAAGAAAGGGCTAAAAAGTTAAGGAGGATGGAGAAGGATGAAGCTCCAAAATCGTATAAGCTTAAAAGGAAAAATACACCCATCACATGCTCAAGATGTCATATGTATGACCATAACAAAAAGGCTTGTAAAAATGTGTTGTCTGCTGAACAAATGGTTGTAGCTATATCATGTAAGAGAGCAGAGAAAATTAGATTTACATAACAAGCAAATACGTATTGGATTTGTGTCTTCCAAATATGCACAAACTACTTCAACAATGATTCCAGAATATATAATGACTTTGGACTATTTTTTACGACTACCAACTCTAAGGATAAACTCCCTGAATAGAAAGCCTCATTCAAATGGAGACGAAAGTTTTGTGTAATACGTAACCAACTTTAAGTTGTTGTTAGGTAAAAGATGCAACAAATTATTTTAGGCCAAAAGTCCCAATATCATGAGAAGAAGATATGAAATTTAGCCTTGACTTACTGGATACAAGACTTTTATTTATGTTTTTTTTTTTTGTCATACTTTGAGACATGAATTATTGTTTTTTGGTTTTAGATCATACTACTACTATTTTGGGGACATATTATGTCAATTTTATATATTGTTTTGAGAATGT